TTTTATATATTTTGGAGATGTATAATGAATACCTTTCCACTCTGATGATTGTTTTTTTCTTTTTTCTTTGTATTTTTAGGGAAGGGTCTACTGGGTAATCAGGGTCTCACTACTAGATTGGACTTGTAGTGATCCACCTGTTCACAGCCTCCCAAGAGCTGGGCTTATAGGCGTGTGCCACCATGCCCAGTCTCAATCACTGACTAAGTGCCCCTGGGGGCAGGGCTGGCATGACAGGCCCAGGGATTGAACCTCAGCCCCCGCGCCTGCATGCAGGCGCTTTAATCTGCTGAGCTATTTGGCCAGCCCTCAAAATTTTTTTATATTTCAGTTTTAATGTGATTACATTTGTCAGTTTTTTCCCTTAATAAATAAAGATTACTGCTTTTCTGATTTTTGTTTAAGAACTGTTTGCCTACCTTGAGAGTCTGAAGGTAATTTCTTGTGTTATCTGTAATGGCTGTGTACTTTGCCTCCCCTGTTGAAGTCCTTTATGCATTTTGTGCATAGTATAATGAGGTCGGGGTCTAGTCTTTTTTTCCCATGTGAATACCATGTTTTCTTAGTAAATTTTGCAGAATAGCTTGTCCTTTTTCCTTGTATCAGTGTTCTGTTGCATATGAGATACACACACACACACACACACACACACACACACACATCTCCTTTCTCTTTGTTCTGCTGGTCTGTCTTAATTACTGGGCCTTTACAGAAAATTGTGTGAAGACAGTCCTCACAGCTGTCTTCTTTGAGAATATCTTGGCTATTCTTGCTCCTTTGTACTTCACGAGTTTGAGAAGTAGCTTGTCAAGTTCAAAGAAACAAAATCTGTTGGATATGTGATTGAGATTGCGTGAACCTGTACTGTACATCAGTTGGGGAGAGTTGGCATCTTTACAATGCTCAGGCTTCTAGCTCACATGCATGGCATCTCATCTCTCTTATGTATCAAGGTAGATGGGTTTTTTTTTAATTCCCCTGAATAAAGTCAGTGCTTTTCCTTGTAGACGGGATGCCTCTCTTTTGAGGAAATTCTTTTAGGCCCCCTAATACTACCTTGATGCTTTCCTAAATGGCACCTTTAGCTGTTATTGCTGGGATATGAGCATACAATTTGTTCTGTGGGTTTTTATTTATTTATTTATGTATTTGGTACAGGGTCTTACTACGTAGCTTAGACTCGTTGTGATCCTGGTGTTTTCAGTCTCTCCAGTGCTGGGATTACAGGCATGCACTACCACGCCTGGTCTCTGGCCTGCTTAGTGTGCCAGGGGGTGGAGCTGGTGCGGCATGTGGTGCCAGGGATCAAAACCTTGTCCCTGGGCTTGTCTGAGCAGGCACTTAGTTTGCTGAGCTATTCACAACATCTCCATCTCATGGAAAGCCCAACTCCTTGTACATGGAGCTGCTGGAGATATGATGAGGTGAGTAAGCATGGGCACAACGCTGCAGTGCCTGTTTTTTTATTTTCCTGGCCTTGAGTCTTCTGTACGGCCACAGATCAGGAGGCCACAGGAACCCAGGTGGATCACTGGCTTCTCACGTGGGTCCTTTCCGTTTCTCCTAGGTGTGTTCCCAGGGAATCAGATCTTTGAGAAATCACCCCTAGGGTTCCCTTCCCCACAGCTTGGCCTCAAGCAGCTTTCAGCTTCCTGTTAGCAGTGTAGTGACAATGAATGAATGCTGGAGAGTTGGGTTGATCAGCTTCAGGAGTGCCGAAGAGCTTGCCAATGAAGCTAGGTAATCCTAAAATGTTCTTGGAAAAAATTTACAAACTTGTGATTTGGGCTTTTAAAATTATTTTTTTTTTCTCTTTTTTTTACTTTTTGGTCTGTTTTGGTAACTTACATGTTTAGATATCTTTGTCTATTTCATCTAAGTTTGAAGAGTATGGATATAAAGTTGTACAAGATACCATAAATCTCTAGGATCATAGTAATGGTCCCTTTCTCTGCTTCACTTTGAGAATTTGTGCACCCATCCTTTTTTCCTCATTTCTTGCCAGAGGCTTGCCCATTTATTATTTATTTATTAATCAACTTTTGATATTCTTGATGCTCTATAGCAGTAGTGGCAAACTTATGGCACCCACATTGTTTTTCTTTTCAGACCAAAGATGTAAATATTATATTTCCTAAATTAAAACCTTAATATTCAAGTTTTATTTCAGTGTTGGCACTTTGTGACAAATAAGTGGGTTTTGGTTTGCAGTTTGGGCACTTGTCTCTAAAAGATTCACTGAGACTGCTATATAGTATGTTCTTTTTTTTTTTTTTTTTCGGAACCGGGGATTGAACTCAGGCCCTTGCGCTTGCCAGGGAAGCGCTTATTCCACTGAGCCATCTCCCCAGCCCTTCTGGTATGTTCTTTAACTTGGTTTTTAGTCTGGTAAATTTCTTCCTTCAGCATATCCTTGCCTTTCTGCCTATTATTTTCCTCAGTGCTGGGATTATAGGCATGTACTACTATGCCTGTCTTAAGGGGGAAATTTTTGAGATGGATAAATACCTGTTTGTTTACCTAATATATATATTTAGTTCTACAAATTAATGCTTAGCTGCATTTAACATATTTTTATGTAGCATTTTTGTTATTCATTCTTCGCTTTAACTTCATTAATTTGTTAAAGTGTTTTGTAATCTTTACGCACAGAAGAATCATTCTAGGATTTAATTTTGATTTCTTTATTACATCTGGTTAGAGAATGTGTGTGTGTTTCCAGCAAGGCAGTGACACAAGCAGTGCCCATATAGGGGGAGCCATTGACATTATTGTCGCATGTGGATGATGCCCCCTAGTGTTGAAGGCATGATTCTGTGTGTGTGTGTGTGTGTGTGTGTGTGTGTGTACATGAGTGCTGAATTTCAGTCATTTGAAATATGAGATTTGCTGGCTGGACCTACGTTTGGTCAGTTTTTGTAAATGTTCCCTGTATAGTGGAGCATAATATGCGTCCTTGCTGGATACCACATTCAATGAGTCCTTTTGGTCAAATATTTTATCTGTGGTGTACAAGCTCTTTGTCTTTGCTGATTTTTGACTATTTCTATTAATGATTGAGAAAGATGCATTAGAACTCATCATGATTGTATATGTCATTCTCTGTACAGTTCTGTTTGTGCTGTGTTTATATTTTGAGGCTATACTATCGTGTCCTTCAAATTCAGAGCTATTGGGTATTTTTGGCAGTTTTGAAGTCTGTGTTGTTGGGGAGTGACTCTCCTTGCCCCTAATGTTACCTTTTGTTTTAAAGTCTGTTTGGTCTCATTAATGTGCCTGGGCCAGTTTTCTCATGGCTAGTGTTTGCACTGTATGTTTATCTATTCCTTATATAGGTCAGCCTTTCTGTATCCTTGTGTTTCATTTGTCTCTTGTAAACAGATTGTAGTTGGATTAAAAAAATTCAGCCTGATTTTTACCTTTTAAGTGGAACAGTTTGTTTACATTTATTTGAGCCTAAACCTGTCATTTTATGCTTTTTGGTCTACCAGTGTTTTTTATTCCCCCCCCCTCAACTGATTTTGAAACAATGTTGTTTTTCTCTTGTTTTCATAGTTCCTTTGAAATTATAGTAGTAATACTACTGATACAGAGAGAAAAACTGATCTTGGGTGGGTGACTTCCAAACCATACAGGGAACCTCCAAATGACTTAGGGAAAAACGATCTCCCGACCTGACCTTGTACGTGTTCGTGTTCTCTAAAACCGAAGAATGAATTTTAGGAACAAACGGAGGTTATGAGCAGAATATATTTATTGAGAGAAAGAAAGTTCCTGTCCAAGAGAGGGACAAGAGGGGGGCCCGAGCGGGTAGTTCCCCGGGAAGCTATATCTTCCAGGGACTTTTATAGTGTAAAACCATGTGGGGCTAAGGTAGAGGGAATGGGAACTCACTTAGGTGGGACAAAACTATAGCCAACCAATGAGATTACAAGCACCATTGCTTAGGTAAAACTGATTAAATTCAGTATCAAATGGGAAAGCGAGTCATGTAGCAAGCAGGCATAAATATGAGAGAGGGTCTTTTCCTGTTGGGGTTGGAAGGCGGGACAGGGTCTCTTTCTGTTGGGGGTTGAGCTAATGACTCACTTGGGTCTTTCTAGGTGATCGATACCTATTTAGAATATCAATCCCAGGTGCTACTCTTTTAGCATTTGTTTGGCTTTTAGGTCTTTAGGTCTGGTTCACAGCAGGACCATCTGCCACTCCCACAGTTGTAAGGCATCTCATCTTCTTTGTTGTCTCCTTCGAGGGCCTGGCCCTGTCTGACTGCCTATAATATTTCTAACTCAGCTACCTGCAGTACTACTATAAAAAATGAGGTTAATTGAGACCTTTGCCCTCCTGGACAATTTTTTTTTTTTTTTTTTTTTCAGAACTGGGGACCTCCTGGACAATTTGAAACTTTGGAAATTATCTGATTCTTTTGTTTCTTATGTGCTAGTATTGTTGACATTTTATTTCTGTTTTCCAGCACCACAAGTCCTGGTCACTCTCATTTTACACAGTATTATTTCAGCTCAATGTGCATATTTGTAATTCTCCTCTCTTCATTCCATTTGCATCTGTGAACTTTCATGTGGGATCACTCATTTTGATGGAAAGGGTTTAGAATTTCCTCTGCTGAGGACCTGATGCTACTAAATTCCTTCGGTTAGTCCAAGAATATCTTCATTCAGCCCTAATTCTTGAAGGTATTTTCCCTACAGAATTCTAGATTAAATCGATACTTTCTTTCAGAATGGGAGATGCCATTCCATTGCTTGGCTTGTGTTGCCGCTCAGAAAAAGTTGCTGCCTGACTGGTTGCTCCTAGTCTGTTGGCCTGGTTTCTCTGCCCTGGCCCTACTTTCCACCCGCTACTTTAAAGACTTTTCCTGTGTTTCCTCAGGGTAGATTTGATTTCTGCTCATTTTTCCTTTGAATTTATTGGGTTTCCTGAGTTTGTGAATTAGTGCCTTTCATCAGTTACCCAGAAATCTCCAATTACTTTTTTTTTTCATTTGTGATCACTTTTAATAATGATACACTATGAAAAAAGTGTATCATTCACTTTAAAAGGAAGTCTTTACTTTTGCATGGTGTCTGGCTGTGCAATTACTTTTACTTCAAATATCATTCTCCTTTTTCTGAAGCATCATTTTTGTTACCCTAATTTGAATAAATGTTCATTCTCTTTTCTTCATATTTTTTGCCTTGTTGTCCTTCTGTGCTGTGTTGTAAATGAATGTTTCCTTCTTTTCTTCATTGAGTTTGCAAAGTCTGTGTTTAGTCACATCCAAGCTGCTGTTAGTGCTGCACTGCAGTCTCATTCCCACTCTGTATTCTATTGAGTTCTCTCAATTCACTGAGTTTTTAATAATGGTTTTGGTTTTTTTATTTCTAGGTGTTATTTGATTTATTTCTAGGTTATTTACGTTTTCTATTTGATAGGTTATGACCCTAGTAAGAATTGCTGAATTATTATGGTGGTCATCTAATATGGCTGAAGCCCTTAAAACAACAGCTCATTTTCCCAGAGACCACCTCCCCCCTTCTTCTCCAACTCAGCCCAGGATGCAGTTTCCTTTCACCTTTCCCGCCATCTCAGGGAAGGCTCCAGTCAGCTCTTCAGGTCTATCTAAACTTCCCCCTCAAGCCCCACCCCTGGCAAAGGCCATAAAAGCCTCAGCCTCCTTTTGTTCCAATCCAGAGAATTCCTTATCTTCCCAAATTTTCTCCGTGTCCTCTAAGATAATGAAGTCCCTTTCCCTTTATAATAAAGCTCCTTTCCTTTTTACTTCTACGTGTTTCTCCACTGCGACACCATTAAAACCTATCACTGTTATCTGCAGTTATTTTATTTTTTGGAGGAACTGGGGATTGAACTCAGGCCCTTGTGCTTGCCAGGCAAGCACTTATTCTACTGAGCCATGTCCCCAGCCCATCTGCAGTTATTTTTAATTTGCTCTTAAGTTCATTTGAGTCTGTAAGCATTTTGTTTGTCAGTTCCAACTTTGAATTTTTGCATCTGTTTGTTGCTTATACTAATCATTGCCTCATGATTTATTTATTTATGTGCTTTGTTATTTCCTATTATTCAATATTTTTACCCTTGGGAGTGTGTGTGTGTGTGTGTGTGAATTGGGCAAAGCCTGGAATAAAGAAGCCTTTGTCCAGGGAAGACTTTTGCCTGGAGTGGGCTCAGTTTTGCAATCCTCCTGCCTCAGCCTCTTAAGAGTTCTGGAGGGGGCTGGGGAGATGGCTCAGTGGAATAAGCGTTTGCCTGGCAAGCGCAAGGGCCTGAGTTCAATTCCTGGTTCCGCCAAAAACAAAACAAAACAAAACAACGCAACAACAACAACAACAACAAACCCTCAGTAAAATGGTTAAAAATACATGAATGTAACCTGTGATGTTAAGTCCTCAAAACTGTGATTTTTGTCTCTTTTTCTTTTCTGCTCTTGTAATTGCAAAGTTCTCTAGGGAGATGGTGGTGGAGGTGGTGGCCTGATTTACTTTTCCTGCTCTGTGGGGACAGCCTGGGAGCCCCAGCTTGGTTTCTTGCTTTGGACTGCCTGGACTCCCTGATTCCTTTTGCCTTGCCTGAAGATTTTCCCAGGTTTACTGCTGCCTCTCGGCTCTACCTGAGATTTTGACCATAGTTTTGTAGCATCTGGTAGCACCGTGCTTTTAAAGAGATTGCAGCTTACCCTCTTCTTGCCCACACTGTTACTGACTCCCAAACAAAGAAAGATGGGCGCAGAGAACCTAGTTCTTGTTCCTGGACCTCAAAAGTCCTTTGCCATTCCATGCTCTTGGTGCATATTTCCCATGAGTTTGGAACACTTTATTACTCTTAATGAAACAAGTTATATAGTCAAGGTATTGTAGGCAACTGAGTAGATAAAATATTAGATAGCAGTATGGGCAGTTAGACAAGGCCAGGCCCTTGAGGGAGCCAGTGTAGAAGACAAGATTCCTTGCAGCTGTGGGCCAGACTTCAAGAAAAAAATGAAACAGATGTACCCACATATCTCCTTAGGGATGGACCTCAGGGATTGATATTCTAAATAGGTATCAATGACCTGGAAAAGGCCAGGAAGAGGCACTAACCTAAACCCCTGCAGGAAAAGCCCCTTCTGTACTCAAGTCCACTTGTTATGTGATTTAATCAATTTCACCTGAGTAATTATGCTTGTAATCTTATTGGCTGACCATAGTTTTGTCCCTTTGTGAATTCCCATTTCCCCCCCACTTTAGATCTGCCTCACCTCATGGTTTTACTCTATAGAGATCCCTGTAAAGGTTAGATTCCTAAAAAAAAAAAAAGGTCAGATTCCTTGGCAACACACTCCAAACTCCTCTTAGAAGCTTTCTTTCCCCCAGTAAATATATTCAGCTCCTAACCTCCATGATTCCTAAAATTCATTTTTTGGTTTTTTAGAGAACATGAACTTGTCCCAGGTATCTTTTAGGTTGGGAATTTCTTTCCCCTATATCAAAGTGGCCTTGATAAGGGTGTGAGGAAGCTTGGGCAGAGGTAGTTGCCTGGTTCTGACCTACAGTTTTAGAAACTAGGTTGACTTTATGGTTAGGTATGATGTATTTGAAATAAGCTAGTCATGCTTCTATATTAGCTTTTTTTAGGGCGGGGAAGGGAATACCAGGGATTGAGCTCAGGACCTTGTGCTTGCCAGGTGGAATTTTTTTTTGTGTGTGGAACCAGGGATTGAACTCAGACCTTTGAATTTACCAGGGAAGTGCTTATTTTACTGAGCCATCTCCCCGGCCCCATAGGTGGAATTTTTAATAAGGAAAGTATTTATTAGAGTCAGTATTACTGTGGATAACACAAAATTCCTATTCTTTTTGTTCCTTAAGAGTTTCTGCTTAGGTGCATTAAACTTTGGATTTTATGGTTTGCCCATGGCTGCTTTTCTTAGTTGGTAAGGGCAGAAAGGAAAGGATGCAGCTTAGTAAGGACACCAGATGTATAAAAAGAGAGAAGAAAGATCTCAAGGTAGGCACCAGCAAAAAGTAGCACTTTTGCTAAAGAGTAAAATTCTTGTTTACTGAATTAACACATTAAAATGAAGTTAATAACATATTTTGAACTCCAAAGTGATAGTGTATTTACATATAAAGTCATGATACTTAAGATGGTGTGTTTTTTTGTAAAAAACCCCACCTTTTTAATAACTTTTATTCATTTTAATGAGAAAAGAAAGAAAAAAGATAAAATAGTAGGATGTTTATAATAATACATTGCATATTGTTGTCTTCATAGTATTCAGAGGACAAGATGCAGACGTGGTATCTTGTCTCAACAATATTAGTACAAACTTTTATTCTCAGTGACCTACGAGAAAGTAGCTGTATATCTATTCTAACTCTCTTGTGTATACATATTAATATGCTGAGCTATAAAAGGCTCAAGTCAACAACTTATGACAATTGCCATTTCTGCTGATAACTCACTACTATTATGGATTATTGGACTACATTGGGTTATTTTGCTGAATTCAAGTACCTACAATCTTTAGATTGGTTTGAAGATGAAAAGGTCCTTTAAAGACTTCTCCAAATACAGCTTCTCTAACTGCAGTGGAACACCCATCTCTGAAAAAGACAAAACGGAAAAGGGTGTATGTTGGGAGCCATGAAGCTAGGAAATTGATCAAATATATGTAGGTGGGACTTGACCCAGTGCCTAAAACAAACAAGTTACCTCACTCCCGAGATGAATATCTTGTCTGGGTAAGGTTTGCTATCAGTTGCTAAGCAACCTAGTGTCCTGCTTTACTAACTTCACAAAAGTGTTAAAAAAAAAAAAAAAAAAGACAGTTTTATTGTGAAAAAAACAAAACAAAACACCTTTTATTCTACATATTCATATCAAAAGGTCACGGTAGTATGCCTGCTTCCCAGTTACAGTGAACCTGAAACACCTGTCGGGTCTTTTTCTAGTACCAGCTTCCTATATCCTTGTTTCCCATCCCTGCCGTTTAATTCTGTAGTATTTTTTTTTAAAGATTTTAATTTTATTTATTTATGTGTGTGTGTGTGGCCAGCTCAGCCCACCAGGGGGCGGGGCTGGCTGGCATCTGGTACTGGGGGTTTGAACCACGGTCCCTGTGCTTTGCTAAACTTGTTCTAAGTAGGTGCTTTAGACCACTGAGCCATCTCACCAGCCCCCATCCTGTAGTATTTTGTGCTGCTTTGTACCCTAGAGTGTAAGTTACTTTCCTTTTAGAGTTTGCTGCTTTCAAGAAGGCAATATCCTAGATTTGAAAAACCAAAGCAAACACTATTAAAATAGTGACAAAGAAATAACACTGGAAGGTACTTAAAAGAATTTTGGAGTTTCCTTTTCTGTCACCCCCCCCCCCAGTGTATTAAATTGCTGTTATCAGTGTATCTATACAATTATATCACATTGTTTTGCATTTAATTCTTTTGTTCTTCCATATTACAGACTACTCTTTTGCTAGTTTTTAATAATTTTTTTTAACCCAGAGTTGACTACCTTCCTCTTATTGAATATTCAGTTTTTCTTTTTCTTTGTGCATATACCCCAGTGTTGCAGATTATTTCATTACTATAGATTGCTGGGAAACAGCTAACGGGGCAAGAGGATGAGAGAATTGGGTGAGAAAGAAGGCAGAAGGGACCAGCTCCCAACTCTTGTGTCTGTCCTAGAGTACTTGTTGCCTTTGCTTAGAGTGTCTGCTCCTCTTGCTCTCTGTACCTAACATAAGCCTCCATTTCCCAACACTGATCCCATTAACACCTCCTCCCCCAGCTAAAGATGGAGCCCTGCAACTAGTGCATGCTAGGTAGGTGTTCTACTACTGAGCTACACCCCTAGCATCTCAGTGCTACACTTTTAAAAAACTTTTTTCTTCCTCCAGAGGTGATACATGTGTCAGAATTCTCAGTGAAAAGTATCAGGTTACCTTTTCAGATGAAGACTGGTTAATTTACTGAGTAACATAACTAACTGAAGCTGCTGTACTTTTTAAAGAGCCATCCTGCAGAGTGTGAAGGACTGATAGTGCTTGTCTTGTGGACTGAAGAAAGTGAAAAAATGAACTGGGGTTTGGCTCAGAGCTTTTGGACTTCTCATTTTTTAGTGTGTA